ACACACACTCACACAAACACACACACACACACACACACACACACTCACACACACACACAGACACTCACACAGACACACACATTTTATTTTTCAGGATTCACAGATGAACAAAGTTCAAAAGAACAGCATTTATCTGAAATAGAAATCTTTTGTAACATTATAAGTGTCTTTACTGACACTTTTGAACAATTTAATGCAGCCTTGATGAATACAATTATTTTCATTTTTTCTTTTAATCTTGCTGACCCCAAACCTTTGAATGATAGAGTATCATGTTTTTCACAAAAAAGTTGTAATATTTCACAATAGCACTGTTATTTATCAATGCAAATGCAGCCTTGATAAGCAGAAGAGACTTCTGTCAAAAACATTAAAAACTCTGAAAATATAAACCAAAACTGGTTAACATGATCAAATAACCTGCACAGAAAACGTTTCTGTTTGATAAAAGCTCGGTTTGTTTTCTATGAAGTAATGTTCACCAGTGAGTCGTTCTCAACAGGACCAAGAGGCTGAGTTTTCTCTCGTGTTGACGGTCTGTTTGTTGTTTCCAGGGTCAGGATGAGGTTGAAGCTTCTGGTAGTTTTGCTGCTAAAATCTGGACCTACAGAGTTCTGCTGGAGCTCATCCACTGGACTGATTCTGCCTCTCAAACCCTTCACTTATTCCACAGCGAGCAACACGGCCAGCAGCAGCAGCAGCAGCAGCTCCTCTAGACGCGCGGATCCCGGCTGGCTTCCTGAACTAAACACCTTATTCAATGGAGAATCAGTATGTTAGGCCAGGACCATGACCGCAGACGTCTAGAACTCCATCTGAGTGACGTGACGCTTGGATTAAATCAGGTCTTTAGTTTAGACCAAGCCGAGTTCAGTACTAAAAGAGAAACAAAATTAACAGTTTATTGTTGTTTGGTTTAAAGCTTGGTTACAAAAAACCCAAGCATCTCAGCATGAATAGTGTTTTGCCTAAAAAACGTTCTCTTGTAAAATTTTGCCTCAAGTAAATTCATCATCTGATTTAATTGGAACACAAGACAAAATGCAAGCAGTTTTGGGGAGTATATTGCTACGCTCAGATGAGTTTCTGCGACTCTGCGGTCTTGATATTGTGTGCGATTATAACAATATGCTGTGCTCTTGAGGTCTAATACAGTAGGGCTCTTGTGTGAAATACATCACGGGCTTCACACACGCTTCAGCCTGAGTTACACACGTGTCAAAAGAAACGAAGACATTTACCTGTAAAATCATCAGAGACCTTCACTGTAGGAAGAGTCCTGCCATCATTTACTCTCACTCCAAACCTATGGGACGCTATTTTTACAGCACAAACATCACATTGTGAAGAATTTTCATGCCGTTCTAGTCCAAACAGTGAAAGCGGACCGAGAGCAGAAGCTGTCAAGCAACAAAATGCATCAAAAATAGTTGCATTTTGACTCGATAAATCTTAATGCATGTAACTATAAATGAGATTTGAGAGCTACGGCAGAAGAGCAGAGAGTTTGTGTTCACTGTATGCTTTTACTGTAGTGTGAACGTTTCTAATTTTCTAAACCATGTCTCACCTTTGGTTTTCCATGGAAGAGATAGTCATGCAGGTGTTGAATGACATGAATGTCTGGACCACCGTTTCCGTCAGGGAATGTAAACATAAAAATAGTAACTGTGACTTTTTTTCCTCGCAATTCTGAGTTTTTATCTCATGATTATATTGCAATTATCTCAGAAAAGTCAGAATTGCGAGATATGAACTCACAATTCTAAGAGAGAAGTCAGAATTGTGATGCAAAAAGTTGCAATTAATTTTTTTGTTACAAGACGAAAACAAAAAGTAGAATTGGAAGATATCAATTCAGAACTGCAATAAAATTCAGAATTGCGAGATGTAAACTCAGAAAGTCAGAATTCAGAATTTATATCTTGCAATTCTAACTTTTTTCTCAGAATTGCAAGAAAAATAGAAACAAAAAACAGAATTTTAAGGTATAAAACTCAGAATTGCACAAAAAATTGAAATAAAAAACTGAATTGCAAGAAAAATAGAAAAAAACTTAATTGCAAGGTATAAAATTCAGAATTGCACAAAAAATAGAAATAACAAACTGAATTGTAAGGTATAAAATTCAGAATTGCACAAAAAATAGAAATAAAAAGAATTTTAAGGTATAAAAGTCAGGATTGCACGAAAAATAGAATTAAAAAGAATTTTAAGGTATAAAACTCAGAATTGCACGAAAAATAGAAATAAAAATAATTTTAAGGTATAAAAGTCAGAATTGCGAGAAAAATAGAAACAAAACAAAAAACTGAACTTTAAGGTATAAAACTCAGAATTGCGAGAAGCAAAGTCTGAATTGTGAGACAAAAAAAAAACTTTTATTATTATTATTAATTTCTTTTTTATTCCATAGCGGAAACAGGCTTCCATATGAATGAGTAAATGATGGCAGAGTTTTCTGTCAGACAGACAGACTGAGGTAGTGTTATTCTGATTGAACATATTCACATGCAGAAATGTTACATTTAGGAGAAAGTACTAATCATTTGCATTCTAGTGTCATTTCATTCACAAAAACTAACAAAGTTTGACGTTTACAAATTTTCAAGTTATATATGTGTGCTCCACACACACACACACACACACACACACTCACACACACACACACTCTCACTCACTCACTCTCTCACACACACACACACACACACTCTCACTCACACACACACTCACTCACACACACTCTCACTCACACACACACACACTCACTCTCACACACACACACACTCTCACACACACACTCACTCACACTCACACTCACACACACACACTCACACACACACACACTCTCACTCACTCACTCTCTCACACACACACACACACACACTCTCACTCACACACACACTCACTCACACACACTCTCACTCACACACACACACACTCACTCTCACACACACACACACTCTCACACACACACTCACTCACACTCACACTCACACACACACACTCACACACACACACACTCTCACTCACTCACTCTCTCACACACACACACACACACACTCTCACTCACACACACACTCACTCACACACACTCTCACTCACACACACACACACTCACTCTCACACACACACACACTCTCACACACACACTCACTCACACTCACACTCACACACACACACTCACACACACACACACTCTCACTCACTCACTCTCTCACACACACACACACACACACTCTCACTCACACACACACTCACTCACACACACTCTCACTCACACACACACACACTCACTCTCACACACACACACACTCTCACACACACACTCACTCACACTCACACTCACACACACACACTCACACACACACACACTCTCACTCACTCACTCTCTCACACACACACACACACACACTCTCACTCACACACACACTCACTCACACACACTCTCACTCACACACACACACACTCACTCTCACACACACACACACTCTCACACACACACTCACTCACACTCACACTCACACACACACACTCACACACACACACACTCTCACTCACTCACTCTCACACACACACACACACACACACACACGACAGTGATAATAAAATGGCATGTACTGAGATACATACAAGTGTGAAACCCCAGAACATATAGGTTAGTTAGTGAGCCACTAGTGATCAAACGACTAACCTCCTTACTGTACTAACGGATGATGTAGCAAACCGCCTGTGACTTAGACTGTGAATTACTGTATGATTGAAGTCAGATTTCATTGTGAACTAAATCCAAGGCATTACTGAGTAGTGAAGATCATATTTTTTAGACTATAGTCCATAGACTTAACAACCAAAAATCTGAAATATTAATATATTAATGTCTTTATTTATTAATTCTACTGAGATGTCATGTAACTGTAGCACTGTGATGCATTTCTTTGCTATTACTAAACGACTAACTCTGAGGCTGTGAATGCTGTGAATCTGTGGTTATATCTAGAGGCTGATGCACTGTTTGTCGTCTGAACGTCACTCTGTGCTGGGTTTATCTGTGAGACACACACACTAACCATGCTTTGCAGCAGAATGTTCTGCTCATATTCCTCACATTCTCTATTTTGTTATATTATTGAGCACAGTATCATGTGTATGTCTATATTAATCAATAAATTATGGGATGAAACTGAAAGTGTGTTCGTATTCTGTGTGTGTGTGTGTGTGTTGGAAGGGGTTCATATTTGAATGTGAGAAAGAAAAATAAAGTACATTTCCCAATATTTTACATATAAAAATTATAATTTTATATTGTACATATGGCGACTAATGTAATGTTAACTCATTGTGATATATATATATATATATATATATATATAATTTTTTATGCCTAAACTGACTTTTTTTTTTTTTTACTGGATAATATGTTTATATTTCAATTTAAAATTAAAATCAGAAATAAAAAATCAAATATTTAAGATCAGAGCTCTAGAAAAAAAAAGGAGCTTAGAAATTCTCACGACGACTTAAGAGTGCATTAATTTCAATAATTTTTTAAGGCCTAGATTTTAATTTTACTAAAATATTTTCATGTGTCCATTTAAAACGAAAACCAGAAAAATAAAATAAGACTTGCACTTTACATTTTAACATCCATATAAATAAATAAATATAATTAATTACTATTGTACTAATAAAGTGTAAATACAAGTAGAATACTATATATATATATATATTACATAAGAACATTAGTATTATTTATACTTATAAATAAATATAGAAGTTATATACTGTAAATGCACAGAAATATGAACATTGTAATGTTTATAAACAAATTTTGGAGTATATATATATATATATATATGTGTGTGTATACATAAATAAATACATTATATATATATATATATAGCCTGTATATCTCGTGGCTGCTGGAACCCATCTCAGGGCCTGACCAGCTCAGAGCTTCTGCGCATGCGCACCGGAGCAGCGCTAATGGCGGAGAGCGTGCGGTCGCCGTTCGATTACCGGGAGCCCCCGACCCTCGACAGCGACGGGGATGGAGGAAAGCCGCCGCCGCCGCGCGGGTCAGTCGCTCTCGCTGGAGAAGCGGGTCGTGCCGCTTGTTTCGGGGGGGATGCTCGGATTAGCGTGCGTGCTAACGGTTAGCCGGTCCGGTTGTGTTGTCCTCGTGCACACGCCGCGGTGAGAGGAAAACCCGCGGCCGTTACATCGACCGGCGCCTCTCTCTCGTGCTCGGAGCTCGCGCGCGTCTTTACTGTGCTATTGTCCCGTTCCGCGTTACCGTTAACGGCAGAAGCGGCGGCGACTCGAACGATTAGCAAAACACTGCGCGAGTGCGCGAGACCAGCCGGCGCGTGCACGGACACTGCTGCCGAGCGCGCTCACGAGCAGTTCACCATGGCAACCGTCGCGCGGGACATCGAGCGATATCTCCATAGCAACGATCGCGATTCCGTCCGATAATCGCTGCGGAAACCGACTTCTGAATTCGATGTAATAACTAAATATCCCAACAGGTAAAACGTAATATGCCTTTTAAATATAATAGTAATAGTTAGTATTATTGTATATATGCAATACCTAAATTACGTAACATAATACACATCCTTTATGTTTTGATTAATAAAGTTAGTATGTGTAATTGTTATCATATATGTTCTAAAGACGTTTGTAACCCGTTTTGCTGATAAAAACATTCCATGAACAATTAATAAATAACGTTATTAAAGACCAGACAACTTTGAATGAACGTTCTGTTAACGTTGCCAGAATTGTTATTACAATCGCATTATTAATTTATAGTTATTAATATATTTTAGGTTAAGTCGTACTGATTCTGAATCAGTGAGTCTGAACACTGAATCGACTCATGAGTCACTCACAGTCTGCAGTATCATATCAAATGCAGTGCAGTTTTGAAGCGTTTGTCACATTGTTTCTGCGTCGTGTCCTGAAGTGATTCGTTCGATTTGTGTTTGTATGAATCTTAAAGTGCGTTGAGAGTGAATCTGTGTGTGTGTATGTGTGTGAGTGAGTGAGTGAGAGAGTGTGTGTGTGTATGTGTGATGGTCTGACGGTGTGTGTGTGTGTGTGTGTGTGAGTGTGTGTGTGTGTGTGTGTGATGGTCTGACGGTGTGTGTGTCTGAGTGTGTGTGTGATGGTCTGACGGTGTGTGTGTCTGAGTGTGTGTGTGATGGTCTGACGGTGTGTGTGTCTGAGTGTGTGTGTGATGGTCTGACGGTGTGTGTGTCTGAGTGTGTGTGTGATGGTCTGACGGTGTGTGTGTCTGAGTGTGTGTGTGATGGTCTGACGGTGTGTGTGTCTGAGTGTGTGTGTGATGGTCTGACGGTGTGTGTGTCTGAGTGTGTGTGTGATGGTCTGACGGTGTGTGTGTCTGAGTGTGTGTGTGATGGTCTGACGGTGTGTGTGTCTGAGTGTGTGTGTGATGGTCTGACGGTGTGTGTGTCTGAGTGTGTGTGTGATGGTCTGACGGTGTGTGTGTCTGAGTGTGTGTGTGATGGTCTGACGGTGTGTGTGTCTGAGTGTGTGTGTGATGGTCTGACGGTGTGTGTGTCTGAGTGTGTGTGTGATGGTCTGACGGTGTGTGTGTCTGAGTGTGTGTGTGATGGTCTGACGGTGTGTGTGTCTGAGTGTGTGTGTGATGGTCTGACGGTGTGTGTGTCTGAGTGTGTGTGTGATGGTCTGACGGTGTGTGTGTCTGAGTGTGTGTGTGATGGTCTGACGGTGTGTGTGTCTGAGTGTGTGTGTGATGGTCTGACGGTGTGTGTGTCTGAGTGTGTGTGTGATGGTCTGACGGTGTGTGTGTCTGAGTGTGTGTGTGATGGTCTGACGGTGTGTGTGTCTGAGTGTGTGTGTGATGGTCTGACGGTGTGTGTGTCTGAGTGTGTGTGTGATGGTCTGACGGTGTGTGTGTCTGAGTGTGTGTGTGATGGTCTGACGGTGTGTGTGTCTGAGTGTGTGTGTGATGGTCTGACGGTGTGTGTGTCTGAGTGTGTGTGTGATGGTCTGACGGTGTGTGTGTCTGAGTGTGTGTGTGATGGTCTGACGGTGTGTGTGTCTGAGTGTGTGTGTGATGGTCTGACGGTGTGTGTGTGTGTGTGTGTTCTGCACAGGCGAGTGTGTGGCAGGAAGAGGAAGGGGACGCCGGTGAAGGTGTGTGAAAGAGTGGCGTATGTGACGGAGGACGAGGAGGAGAGTCTGTCTGAACACAGTTACAGCCCAGGTACTGAAACACAGTTTAGATCGTTTTATCCAGTCAGAGCTCTTTTAGTGTAACTGTAGCTGGAGCTTCTCGTGTCAAATCTTGACTGGTTTTGATCAAGTAAAGGTCAGAATAACTGCAGTAATATCTCCAGATGAACACTTACTGGACTGAAGCAGCTCAGCTTTACTTGATTCTCCATCAATCATGTTTTAGAGTCTCAAATCTGATCCTCAGGATCTTCTGAGGAGCATTTGTTTCCAGAAGCTTTACTTTCACTGTTCCTCAGCGGAGGAATGATCTTCACAAGCCTCCAGAACATCTCACATCTTCTGAGGAGCCTTTATTTCTTCAGCTCTCAATCACTGCATTATATGTTTGGAGCATTTCAATCTCATCTTACTGAGACAGATTACTGGAGATATAGAGTGATATTTATAGCATTTACAGCACAAGCATCAGAATCTCATCATATAAATATCAGCATGAGCTTCTGAATAACATTGAGCTGTTTTTTTTTTTGTAGGGGATGAGCAGTACACAGAGGGAGCTGAAGACCGGATTCCTGCGCCGAGCAGCCCGTTCTTCCTCACCGACCCGGCACAGCTCTGGTACAAGACCTGCTCTCATTCAATTTTTATTGGTTGGTGGAAATGAGCTTCCACAGTGCTCAGCCGTGTTGACTCTGAATGTGCCGTGTGTGTTTGTGTGTCCTGCAGTGTGCCAGAGCTGGCTGAAGAGGGCGCTAGCGGCGTCCGCGGCCCTGTGCTGTTCCACCCAGCGCCCAACTGCAGGATTAGAGAGGTGCATTGTGGGAGTCAGGTCCGGCTCGTCGTCATAGCCATTCGAGACATTGCCAAAGGAGAGGAGATCACAGTGGACTACAGCCTGACCGACTGGGGAGAAAATGCCATGGTGAACGACCAGAACCTCACTGAAACACGCTATACTGTATTCTGTGCACATCTGCGTAACCTTTAATTCATTCATGATCTGTTAAACCGCAGGGCTTTCATACTTCAGTGTCCCCGCGCGGGTTTGAATGTGGATTCAACCCAGAGAGCAACATCAAGAAGGTGATTCATGCAGCACACACACTCTCACTCACTCACTCACTCACTCACTCACTCACTCACTCACACACTGACTGTCTTTACATGCACAGCTGGAGTAAAGTCAGATTGTAGATCATGAACCATTTATATGATTTACGCTTTAAATGTGCCATGAACACCGCAATCTGATGTGCATCACACATGCATTTAAACAAAACTGCAGTGCATGTGAAAAATTGCAAGGAATGTGACCAAGAGGAGTTGCTCACCACTGGCTAATTTTTTTTTTTCTTTGAAAATTGGAAAATAAAATTTAAAATATGCTACAATAAATTGGAAAATAAGATAAGTTATTGAAAATATCACAAATTAGATGTGGCGTCCTTAAATTCAACATTTTCAGTCATCAACCATCTTCTCAAACATGTGTAAAATGAAATGCTGTTGTCAACAAAACTAAAAGAAAATTATTATTTTTCTTAAATACAGTGAAATATTGCATTAGTAACATTTTTGCATTTTATTTTTATTTAGTAATATTCAAGATCATAAAAGCAGGGTTATTATAGTTAACTAAAACATTATAGTAAAAAAAAAAAAAACATTTTTGTCACGTGGAACTAAACTTACTTAAAATAAATGACCAATATGAACATGAAAAATAAACACCTGCTTGTCATGTCAAACTTTTTTTTTTTTTATTTGCTATGATGTGGGGTTAACTAAAACTAAAACCATTAAAACATTTTTATTACCTGAAATAAAATAAACTTTAACTGGAAAAAATAAAACACATTTCAGCTGTTTAACAAGGCAACATTTCTCATTTTCGTTTACTTTGAAGGTTCCAAAATAGCTACAACTAAATAATTAAAAACTAATAAAAAATACACAACAATGTGTGACCCTGGACCACAAAACCAGTCATAAGGGTAAATTTTTCGAAATTGAGATTCATACATCATCTGAAAGCTGAATAAATAGCTTTCCATTGATGTATGGTTTGTTAGGATAGGACAATATTTGGCTGAGATACAACTATTTGAAAATCTGGAATCTGAGGGTGCAAAAAAATCTAAATATTGAGAAAATCATCTTTAAAGTTGTTCAAATGAAGTTCTTAGCAATGCATATTACTAATCAAAAATTAAGTTTTAATATATTTACGGTAGGACATTTACAAAATATCTTCATGGAACATGATCTTTACTTAATATCCTAATGATTTTTGGCATAAAAGAAAAATGTATAATTTTGACCCATACAATGTATTGTTGGCTATTGCTACAAATATACCCCAGCGACTTAACACTGCTTTTGTGCTGCGGGGTCACATATTACTAAAACTTGAAATGAAAATTGAAAATGGAAAAATAAAATCTAATTCAAAATATGAACACAAACTGTAATACTGTACCGTGATACTAAATAAGCTGCTGTGATGTTTGTCAAACAACAATAAAATCATCTTCAGACTGGTGTGAACAGGCCTGAAATCTATGAGAGATTTGTCTTGCATAGCAGCATTTTCCCATCGGTAGCTATTGAACGGTGCATGTTTAACTCCCAGCTGGCTTGTGTCTCTGCAGGAGGAGGAGCCGGGTTCACTCCCAATGTCTCTCAGCGTTTCCTTCACATGCCCCGCCCCCTCTTCGCCGACGCCCTTCCAGCAGCCTCTAGCCCCGCCCACCACCAACATAAACAATAACATAAACATAAACATCGGCGCGAGCGGCGCGCTCTCCCACAGACAGCACTGTCCCTACTGCGGCCGTCACTTCCGCTCGCTCGCTAGGCACCTGGAGAAACACCATGAGCAGCAGCCCGAGGTCCGAGCCGCCATGGAGCTGTCGCAGCTCCCCAATCAAGACGCCTCCTCGCTCCCCTTCTCCTCTCCCGCTCAGCCCTCGGCCGCCCTGGGAACAACCTCCCTGTTCTCCCGCGAGCGAGACGCTTTGTCCTCGCCTCCCAAATCAGGAGGCGTCTCTTTCTCGCTCTCGCTGTCTCCTCCCCCCGCCTCCAGCTCCTCGAAGAAGAGCTCGGCGATGATGGTGACGCCTGGGAAGGGCACTAAGAAGAGCCCCGGGAAACACCACGAGCAGCAGCCCGAGGTCCGAGCCGCCATGGAGCTGTCGCACCCCCCCGCCTCCTCGCACCCCTTCACATCTCCCTCTCAGCCCTCGTCCTCCCTGTTTCCCCGCGAGCGAGACGCTTCGTCTTCAGCGCCGAAGTCCGGAGGCGTCTCCTTCTCGCTCTCGCTGTCTCCGCCTCCTGCCTCCAATACCGCAAAAAAGAGCTCAGCGACAGCGCCTAAAAACAAGAGCCCGGCCGTCTCGCCCAAGCCTCCCGCCAGGAGAGGACGGCCGCCGAAGAAAGAGAAAGAACAGCAGGAGAAGAAGCAGGAGGAGCCCGGGAAACAGGAGGAGGAGGAGGAGGAGGAGGAGAAGAATCAAGAAGACGGAGGCGCAGAGGAGAAGAACGGTGTCGTGGCGAGGTGAGTTTGTCTTAGAACATGCACTTTCTCTTCAATCTTTAATCTATTTTTAAATATTAGATTTTTCTATTTTACAGTGAAATATTACAATAGTAGTTTTTTATTGTGTTTACTATTTTATTCTAGTAATAATAATCACAATAGTAATAATAGTCTCGCGTTAGACTGACGGCAGAAGAACCGTGGCCGCTTTGAATGGCGCACAAGAGGCCGTATGATTGACAGGTTAAGCAACCAATCACGTTTCGTTTTGTGCCGCGTTTCATGTTTAGGGGGCGTGGAAATGTCCCCACAATAACAGACCGGCGTGTGAAACTCTCTGACGTATTTTAAAGATTCTATGTCGCGACATTTAAATATTATACTTTGAAACTCCTGAAGTGTTTCCAGTTTTGAGTGCCGTACGGATCAGACGTCTGAGGATTAGACTATAGTAATAATAATCATAATAACTACTATTATTTCATATTCACATTGGCATATAATCACAAAATTCTTGGCCAGATTGTGCAGCCCTACAAACAAGCACAGCAAACTTTTAATGGCACTTTAGTCGCAGTTTTATCAGAAAATGTTCAATTACATACATAATATGTAAATAATAACGGTAGCACGTTAGATTATAATAAAATCCTAATTTGCTGCTCATTGATAGTAAATAAGACAGTTGTTGTAGTTGTTATGTTTAGGAATAGACTAGGGTTAAGAGATCTAGGATATGGTCATGCAGGACAACGGATTAATATCTGCTCTATAAGTAATAATTAACAGCCAATATGATAGTAATGTGCATGCTAATAACCAACTAGTTAATAGTCAGTAGTGTTCCCTGACCTAAAGTGTTACCGTAATAATTAATAAATGTAGTTGAAACCAGCGTTGGGGGTTACGCTTTAAGTAACGTGAGTTACGTAATCAGATTACTTTTTTCAAGTCACTAGTAAAGTAATACATTACTTTTAAATTTACAATGCATTATCTATGTTACTTTTTCAAATAAGTAACACCAATTACTTTGCTTTCCCATTTATTGGCTGACGCCTCTCCTGTGCCCGTGTTGAGAGAAATCAGGAGTGAGTGCAGAGACGGAGGCTCTTCCTTCAGTCTGAGGCTTATTCAGTTCACTTTTGGTGTGAAAGAGCCTTTACAGTTGCCAAAAGTATAACTTTTAGGGTTTATGTTATTAAAAACAAATGTGACCCTGGACCACAAAACCAATCATAAGGGTCAATTTTTCGAAATTGAGATTTATACAGTATCTGAAAGCTGAATAAATAAGCTTTCCATTGATGTATGGTTTGTTAGGATAGGACAATATTTGGCCGAGATACAACAAAAAAAATCTAAATATTCAGAAAATCATCTTTAAAGTTGTCCAAATAAAGTTCTTAGCAATGCGTATTATGAACCAGCGACTTAAGACTGCTTTTGTGCTCCAGGGTCACAAATAAGCAAAGCCAGCTCAGGTGACGCAAAGTAGCAAAATGCATTACTTTCCATAAAAACTAATGCAATTAGTTACTTTTTTAATGGAGTACCACAATATTGTAATGGAGTACTTTCCCCAACACTGGTTGAAACACTAATGTCCGTAAGCCTGTATGACTTCAGATCCGTCAGTGGAGTGTCTCTGCTGTCCAGATGGATCTGTCAGGATATCCTGGATGGGTCAATAGCTAATGTTGTTTTGTTCCTGCAGCCCTGGGCGCTCTCACATGCCTCCTCTGCTGTCGTCGCTCTCCACACTGGTGCTGTATCTCCGGCGGCAGCAGCACTCCTCGTTCCTGTCTCTGTCGCGCGCTCCTCCATCCGCCGAGGCCTGGCGTCTGCTCTGCCACTCCAGCCTGGCCCTGCTGATCCTCTACAACCGGCACCGCGAGTGTGAGGTGGCCAAGCTCACGCTGCAGGACTACCGCAGCCGCGCTGCTCCCTCCTCTCCCTCGCTCGACTCCTCGCTCTCCCCGTTCGAGCGCGCCGTCCTCGGCCAGCTCCCGCGTGTTAGCGTGCTGGGCAAACGCGGCCGCCTCCAGCCGCTCATCCTTCCTCCGCACTCGGAGGCGTGTCTGGATCTGCTCCTGGAGACGTCTGCAGATGTGGGCGTGGATCCCCAGAGCCCCTATGTGTTCTCCCGGCCATATCACTCCCCGGCCACGCCGCTGCGCGGGACCGACCTGCTGCGGAGCCTGGCGCGCTCTAGCAGCGCTAAGAATAAATTACAGTTTAACAGATATTCACATAGAAAACAGCTGTTTTACATTATAATGGTATTTCACTGTTTTATTGTATTTTTGATCAAATAAATGCAGCCTTGATGAGCAGAAGAGACTTCTTTCAGAAACATTAATAAATCATAATTATTCCAAACTTTTGATCAGTAATTTACTAATATTACGTATGCATAAAGGAAACGATAAATTAATAACATGCAGCTTTTTGTTCTCAATTGACAAAAACAGCTGCATTACATTACATTTGTTTTACGATATCTAGAAGTAAATTTATGCTAATATGTGCATACTTTGCAATGGTAGAAAAGTGGTTTGGTAAAGGTTTTCCTGTCGTCTTGTTTATACTATGTTACACATATAAATGTTATCATTTACCCATGAGCCTAATTCGTTTTTAACAATTCCCTTTGCTAAAAAAAAAAAACCCTGACTATTTCATTTTACTTTTTGTTGTTGTATTTAATTGAAACTAAGTCGATCCCATTAGAGCGTCTCAGAGATGGAGAAGCTCTCCGTTAAAGTGTTTCTTGTGTTTGTGTCAGTGATGTCGGGGAACTCTGGTGACTCTTTCTCTGATGACTCTGATGGAGAGGCCAGTAAGAGTAAAGACACTGGAAAGAAGAAAAGGTCGCGTAATCGAGCGCCGCGGCCGAAGAAGAGCAGCAGCCCTCATCAGTCCACCAGCACACCGTCAGCGGCACACAAGAGACGCAGCGCTCAGGTCAAGTCCGGTCAGTCTCCTGCGCTAAAACATCAGCTCAGACACATTTCATCAGAAGTTATGTCAAATATGAGTTTGCATTCTGAAGGGAGTGTGATTAGACACCGGTTGCACACAGCAAGAAGAGAGTGTGAAAACCTCCCTAAATCTATTAGATGTTTTGCAGTCTGTAACTATTTGTGTAGTCGGTGGAAGAAAAATAATTCTCTAAAAACAATCTTGAATTTCAGTAATAATATCGTACTCTGTTACTAACGTAACCTCGGTTCCCTGAGATACGAGAACGAGTACTGCGTCTTGCTTAAGACGCTTTGGGAAAACAAATTTTTCTCCGAATACTGAAGCCATTTTCAATCATGCAGTGTAACTGCACGGCCATTGGTTCGTGCAGTGTATTATTAAAAACGAACCAATGGCTCGGCAGCGGAGCGGCGACACAGCCCGCCAGAACCCACCAATTTGGGCGGGGCATCTGGCTATACAAGCGTGCACGCCGCTGAATCGCAGGGGTCTTCGAGCGAATTGCAGTGAATAACCTCGTTTTATTATCCCCAAAACACAGTCTGGCACTCCGGAGATGGCCTGCCAGGCCACCGCCCGCGTGACAAGGTGTTGGATTAATTCAAGAGGCTGGTCACTGTGTGGGGACCCCACAAATTTTGCTCTCTTTTGAAAATGCATTCAAAAAATGCTTCGCTAGACTTAATGCTCTCATAGCGAGAGCAGTCATCCCCCGTGCGCGCTGCCTCAGCGTGGGCGTGGCCCAGACGCGTCCAATTTGAAGCTGTCAGTGATAATAATCATTAGTGAGAGCATTCCCTTTTAATCCGCCTAAAAAGATCAAACCACTCATTAGAAGAGGAGTACTGATGATCTTTATGTGTAAACACTCAGGCAGATCAAAAGTGCTGCGCGCGTTCTCTCAGATCCGTTTGTGGCGGACGAGGGGAGGTGCGGGGCTGCCTTCATTGAAGAAGACGAGCCGCGAGCAAAGCAGAGCGAGACATGAACTTTTCTGTCGCCATTCGGCGAGCCTAAAAGAGCTTATTTCTAGGTAAGTTCTAAAAGAGCAAAATTTCTAGCGATGTTGTTGCAAATGTTGCGCTGCGAGTGTGGCTCGTGCAAGAAATCTTGCATGATGCAGAAGGGCAGTGAGTGCGTCGCCTGTCTGGGCAGCCCCCACGCAGAGACTGCACTTCACTGAGACAGAATGCTCACTCAGAGCATGAGTCTCGCTCTTCTCCACTCACGGACCGCCTTCATTGAAGGCAGCCCAGCTCTCCCGTTTCTCCTCTCTCAGCGAGCCTCGGAGAGAGAAATAGCGGAGTCAGGGAACTAAGCAACCGGTCTGAGCGTTCGCATGCCGGCACTGTACCCGCGTGCTCGCTCCCCCCGCTGCGCTTTGATCCGCCGCAGAAGGGCAGTGAGCTGCACTTCACTGAGACGGAATGCTCACTCAGAGCATGAGTCTCGCTCTTCTCCGCTCGTGGACCGCCTTCAATGAGGCAGCCCCGCTCTCCCATTTCTCCTCTCTCAGTGAGCCTCGGAGAGAGAAACAGCGAAGTCTGGGAGCTAAGCAACCGGGTCTGAGCGATATTACGCCGACACAGAGCCTGCGTGCTTCAATCCGTGTCTTACACATGAAGATCAGCGCCCCTCTTTACATTGAGCGGCTCCATTTTCCGAGGTTGATCGAAGCGGAACGCTGTCACTGACAGCTTCAAATTGGTGTGTGTGTGTGTCGCTATGGCTGCGCTCACAGAGACGGGCTGCTTTTACCACGAAAGCAGTCTGCCCCTGTTCGTTCGCGGTTGAGTGATCAGGCTTGAGCAATTCATGCTGGCACACATCATGCGTGCTTAATTTGACGTCTTCTTCAATGAAGGCAGCCCCGCCCCCCCCCTCGTCCGCCACAAACGGATCTGAGAGAACGCGCGCAGCACTTTTGATCTGCCTGAGTGTTTACACATAAAGATCATCAGTACTCCTCTTCTAATGAGTGGTTTGATCTTTTTGCAGCTCTGCTGCCGGAGCCATTGGTTCGTTTTTAATAATACACTGCACGAACCAATGGCCGTGCAGTTACACTGCGTGATTGAAAATGGCTTCAGTATTCGGAGAAAAAGGAGTTTTCCCAAAGCGTCTTAAGCAAGACGCAGTACGAGTGAAGTATCGATAGAGAACTAAACTTCTACAATGTAATAAAAGGTATTTTAATTAAAAATAACTAAACGTTTTCCCAGTGTTATTGCACTATCATTGATGTAGTACTTTTTTTTATATTTTGAATTAGTTTTAATTTTTGTGTTTTCTGTTTTCATTTCAATTTTAGTTTTAGTGAATTGTTTCGTTGTGTGTTTTAATTTTATTTCAGTTTTAGTTGTTTGAGCGCATCAAATTAAACAAATAGAAAATGAGAAATGCTGCTTTGGCAACTAGCTGACATAATTTTAATAAAAAAATTTATTAGTGTGATCTTAGTATTATCGAGAAGCTATTAAAGTTTTTTTTTTTTTTAGTATTTGCCGTTTTAATTTTAAGTTTTAATTAATGTTTTAGTGATTTTGTTGTGTTTTTGTGTTTTTTACTTGAGATACTATTATAGTTTTTTTTTCTAAATATTTTCAATTAGTTTTTGCTTTTTAAAATCTGTCTATGTAGTGTTTATTTTTTTATTTTTATTTTTTTAGTACATCATGTTAAACTAATAAAAATGGTGCTCTGGAAACTAGCTGGGGAAAAAAAGTTTTTTGATATTTTACTTTATTTCAGTTAACATTGATTTTATTTCTGTTAACAAAAAAAAAATTTAACTATACTAATCCTGCATGCCACCAGACGTGTTTATGGTTATACTCAGTAATTTAGGTTGCGTGTATGTTTTTGGCGGTCAGTGTTAATGGTGTTGTGTGTCTCAGGGAAGCGCGGCGTGACACTCTCACACTCTCTCTCACACACACACACACACACACACACATCATTTACTCACCTCACACAGGCTGCTTCTGTGAAAAACAAAACGAAGAATCGTCAGATCCATCTTTAATATGTCCGTCAAGTGCCAAAAATGACAAAACGCCACATCGGAGTATCTTAACAGCAGCCCCAGTGCTCCCTTTTCCACTAAAATATTCACTTCTGTTTGAACTGCTGCAGCTATAACTGTGACTGCTTTCATGCTGTAGTTGGGTCTTGATGGACTGGTGGCTTTGAACTCGTGTGGAAAAGAGTTGCGTGAAGATTCATTCAGCTCGGTGATGGCAGAATTGTGTTGGATTTTTCCTGAACTCTTCTTCTAAGCTCGCACACACACTCTCCCCACCTTCCCCCGTGTGTGTGTTTCTGTTCAGACTCCTCAGAAACGCAGCAGGTGTGGTGACGCTACTGTTTTTACACGGATGACGTCAGTCGATGTGGAGTTCTGCTGTGATGGATGCGCACTGGTTTTCTCTCTCTCTCTCTCTCTCTCTCTCTCTCTCTCTCTGGTGTAAAACAGTGTTGGATCATCTGGGACCAGCTTTTCTTTCTCGAAGCTCGAGGCGTCTGGAGTCTGATTCTGTCCAACAGACATCAGGATCAATCTCACAAATTTGTGCGATATACACTCCGAAGTGTTCGATATAAACTTGCAATTGTTAGAAAATAAGTCAGAATTGCGAGTTAAAATTATCTTTTTTTTTTTTTTTTTTTTTTTTTTTTTTTTTTTCCCAAATTTGGGTGTCACTTCTAGCACACCAAACAATTTTTACCCAATAAAGCGTTTTCCAGGTTAGTGTATTTGTTTACAGTGCCATTGAATAGCATGCCTGAGAAGAAATATGTGATATGTGAAGAAAAAAAAGAGAAATCAAATATCACTTGCAAAATGAATATGCTTTGATTGTGTGTGATTTTCAATTTTGTCAAATTATGCAAAAAGTGTGAAAAAAGAAAATATTAATTGTGTACTGCTAGCTTTGAAATGAGCAAATATGGCATAGAATTTTTTTTTTTTTAATTCATTTTATTTTTTTATTTATTCCACAAAATGTTTAAAATGTCACTATTAAACACAATAAATGATGAGATGTGGTGAGAATTTTCATTAATTTCAGAAAAAGGAGGGGAAAATGACAGAATTCTCATGTGATGCATGTTTGTCCACTGTGTTAGTGAACAAATTAAATAAACAAGTGAGAGTTTGAAAACTGTGTTTAGTTTATTTTCTAAAAGTTCCAAAAGTGCCCATAGTTGAAGAAATACCCAACTACGGTCTAATATACAATCCAAATAAACCCTGGTCTCATTGAAGGACATTTGTGATAATGGCAGCTGGCTGTACATTATCCCTCTACTTAGCAAATACATAAATACATTTAAATGGTTTTATTACATTACAAGAAAGAGACCATGGAATGATAAGAGACACAAAACTACCACAGATATATATACGTAGGTATTCAGTTGCCAGGGACAACAGTAAATTATATAGTGTCGTTAGAATTCGAATGCTGCGACTGACCAATCAGAATCAGGTATTCCAGAGAGCCATCTAATGAATCCCTACATCACTGGCCTATCAACACTAATCTGGTTAGAGCTAGGCTATAGGGATTACATTAAGAAAAATTGTGACTTCAGTTAAGATTCAATTCCATGGCTTGCATATGATCTGCTAAAATTAAATTTCCCGAACAATGGATTGTTAAAGTAATGAACCAGATCCTAAACCTGATCGGCAAGCCATTAAATATTGTTCTTAAATGTTTCAGGACCATGACACTATGATAATAAAAGTAAAAAGTTGAAGGTTTACAAGAGACTAGAAATAATAGTCTTACCTACACCAGGAGGAATGATGGGGATGGCAGGTATATTTGGCGGGGGGTATCCCGCAGGCTGTCCTCGGTATGGATCATTGGGCTGTGGGTAAGGCGGCTGTCCCGCGTATGCGTTGAAGCCATATGGGGGGACAGAAGCGGGGTAACCTCCTCCAGGCTGAGGGTTAGAGAGCAGCCGGGAATCATCATAACTCGGAGGGAAATCTGACCTTGACATGCTGCTTTACCACCTGTTGGGTAGATGAGACACCATAATGACCGTTTGTGCCACTAAAGTGCAGAAAACACCCAAGAAAAAAATCTGACTTGCTCCAAAACAAAAAAGAGAAATGTATTTATTTTTTATTCTTTCTTTAGGAGCAGGTAAATGTGTCATGTCAAGTGCTACCTCCGATTACCAAAAATAATTGTTTGGTTGATCTGCCATTTCTAAATATTCTCCCATCCAGCCCTAAAATATATTAAAATAACCCTAAAATCCAATGCAAGACGACTCATAAGTAGGGATGCACCGAATGTTCGGCAACCGAAATTATTCGGCCGAAAATAGCAACAACAAAAAGCTCTTTCGGTGTTCGGCCGAATAAGCGAAAAGACCGAATAAATTGTACCGAACAATGATATGACGCGATTAAATAGCAACCAGCGCAGAGTGAGAGGCGCGCACTCTTTATTATGCAGCACACACGTCAGCAGTGTGGAAGCATTTAAACTGTTGGAGAAAGACGCAAAAATCATTACAAGCACCGACAGCGAGAGACTGTTTAGGACTGCATCGCATGTCTTCAATGAGAAGAGGAAGGGGTGATTCTTGCTGGTTACTGTATGATGATTGAAACCGCGAAATGTCCTTAAACAATTAGTAAATAAACTGCACAACGTTATGTTTTCTAATATACGCGCGCATTGCATGTATTCTAACAGCACTGCACGAACTCACAGCAGATCTGTTTGTTAACCAGGGTTCAAAGACCAAAGCACAAGGAAAATCTGCGCTGATACAGTCGTCCTTTCCTCAGTCACATTTTTATGAATTTTTACAAGGCATGTGACAATGCGATACATACGACGTATTCGTAATGAGACTCATTTATAAATCTGCTGTTGTCAACAAAAAGAAGC